CCCATTCTCATTTCCTTAATCTTAATACTCAGTTTCAAGGTTTCCTCACAACAATTGGACAGAGCCCCGGTTTTGATTGCTTTGTTTCGATTTGGAGGAGGAAAAAGCCTGGTTCGACTATCAGTCGTTCGCCTCGTTTCTGGTTTGACGCGGAGCGCCGCGTGTGTCCGACGTCGCTGTATTGTCCGCACAACCAGCGACAAAATAATTTCCTCGGCCAAAAATTGCGACGAAAGGAAAGAAACCGTTCGATAGAGAAACGAATCACCGAGGAATTTTTTCTCCTGGAAACTTAACGAAATATGTATGAAACTTAAGAGTCCGCGACCAAACCTTTAGCGGCCCTAAGAGTACTATTTTCTGAGTTTTAACGCCCCTGGCCAGGGCGTTTATAAAGTAGATAATGTTCAAGGGAGAAAGAAGAATCCGAGGAAAGCGTTACGCAATGTTGTTCTGGCGGGTTGAAAGATAGAATTTTACGTCACAAAAGTGTTTTGGGGTAGGTCAGATAAGTCGAAAACCCGGAACGCTTCACGTTTTTTATAAACGACCCTTGTGTGCTGAGATGGGTGGAAATAAGCAAGTTAAACTTTTCAACGGCACTCTTTGATGAGGGCTACTGTGAAAAGAGGAAAAGTATCTTCACGGAAGAAAAGTGTCAAGAGTTATCCCCTAAAAGTGTGGTGCTTATCACCTCAATTTGTTGGATGATATGAACATTTCCAATTAATTGTGGTAGTATACTACAATATTTGGATAAATAACCTAATTTATTGGGGCACTACAACAACTAATTGGGAATGTCCATATCATTCAACAACCCCATGCTCTTTTTCCCCGTGTTAAGATAGGAGACTGGCGGGTAGGATTGGCAGATTCCCAAAGAGGAATATGAAAGAGACTCTTGTTTATGTATGAACATGCCCCAACATACTAAATTCTTGTCCTGCCGAAAAATGTGTCTTAACTCGGTTGTATTCCGTTTTCTGCAAAATGTATGATGTCGGAGCAGGGCAGTTCTCACAGTTGGACGTATTTCTGTCAAGCGGAACTATGTGCATTATGACATGAGCCCTGTTGTGCATATATTCTTATGGGTCTCGGGGCTCATGTCTTAATGCACATAGTTCCGTTGGACAGAAATACGTCCAGCTGAGAACCGGAGGACAAAGGCGCATCCTCACTGTTAATCTTCTACGAGACCATGGCTGGTGATGGAAGCGTCGAATGAAAAGTGAAGACAAACCACGAAAACGATTACCCATTACCTCATCCGATACTGTCAATCGACGGCAAATGAAGCTTTCAAAACGCTCGACAGGCCGCGTTGCGTGGCCGCTGCGACCGCGCGCGCGGGCCCTGCGACAGTGACAGTGCGACACAATGCTGCCGAGCTGAGAAAAAACGTCGTATGAACCGTCAGGCGTTGCCAAATTTCCCTTGACAAATCACTAATTTTCAAGAAAATTTGTAAATATTTTCCTTCCAATTTCTCAGGTAATTTTGTTTGTAATTTGACCCAAAACGTCCGAAAATTTCAAGGAAAAATATTGATAATTTTCCGCATTAATAAACATTTTATTGGAGGAGATTTGGCAACTCTCGAGTGTTCATACGACGTTTTTCCTTAGCAAGGCAGAATGGCCCCCTCTCTACGTTATATCACACGCGTCCAGTATCCTCTGTCCTCGCGTTCACTCGCAGCTTTTGTTTCAAGCCCCACTTGTCCGATGCGGCGATGCCCGGGCGCCAAGTGGGCTTTGGTCAGTCAAAGCTCTAGTGCCCAAAAATCACGACTCGAAGCATCGTGGCACATCAGTCAAGGGTGTTCCTCAACGGCTAGTCAGTCGCGCGTGTCACAGAACCTTGTTGCATGGCTCAAATTTAAACACAAAATCCAAAATGAATCTGTTCCAGAGAATACCCATGCAAGGAAAGTACACTGGAAAAAAAACACATTGGATCTAGAGTCCAGACTCTTAAAAACATCGACAAGAAAAAATACTCTTGATTCAATCGGATGTTTGCTTAGATCAAGAACCAAGCCTCTTAATTTGAGCGGATTTCCTTTTGATTTAAGCAAAAATCTGACTGAATCAAGAGTATTTTTTCTTGTCAATGTGTTCTGTGTTTGTTTGTGTTTCTTGTCATGTTTGTTTGTTGTTGTTGAGTCTGGACTCTAGATACAATGTGTTTTTTTTTTTTTTTTTTTTTTTTTTTTTTTTTTTTTTTTTTTTTTTCCCGTGTATGGGCATTTGTATCTTCCTAGTACAAGAAAATTGCGCCGCTTTTGATGGATCTACGAATTTTGGGCTTTCGTGGAGCTCTTAAGGCTTCCAGTAAGCAAAAAAATGGTGAAACAACCAGAACACGTATCTCGTTTGCGGTGTCTAAATATCTCCGCTCTCATTTTATTTTTTTGAAGGGCACCAAATCATTATAATTTCTTGAAATTTTCACAGATTTTTCTTTGCACAGGGAAGAAAAATCACGGAAGTTCTCAAGAATTGACGTTGAATAGTTTTCCATTTAAAAAATAAAGTATAACAGGAAGTCTGCAACGTCGCAATCCGAGATATGTGGTTTCGGAGTTTCACCATCGAAATGTTTTTACTTGCGAATTGACTTATGTCACCAAAGCATTTTCAGTTTTGAAAAAAACCTTGAGTTGTAATTATTTATTCCCTCTGGTTCTCGAATGCACGTATTTCTATCAAACGGAACTTTGTGCATCATGGCGTGAGCCGTCTCATGCACGTATTATTATGGTCTCAGGGATCATGTCTTAATGCACATAGTTCCGTTTGGCAGAAATACATCCAAATGACCTGACTTTTTTCCAAATTCATCTCAGGAATGTCAGTTAAGCAATAAGACGATGCATTTAAACACCTCATGGTGCCAAAGTTTTCGAAAGTTAGCGTGAGAATTATGAATGCAGACAATTGGTGCTACTTCTGTGTCTAATTTGCTCCATTTAAATAAATTTGACCAATATTTCAGTTGCCTTTGAATTGATCCTTCAACTCGATCACGAATTAACTTGAAGTGATATTTATCATTAACATGGGAGCAAAATTATCTTTGTTTTTATCAGTCCATCCATCTTACTTTTATCGAGCTCATCCAGTTTCCAGGAACGGTGTCGTGGAGCTCTTCACCTAATACGTCGTCGTCCGGTTGACATAAGGGCGTAACTACACATTGAGATGAGCCCGGACAAGCACTGCATTGTATAGAAGACAGGGTTCATTGCGAGGTGTAGTTACGCCCTTATGTTAGATAGGCGACGACGCGACGTGTCAAGTCAGTGCTCCTGTGAGCGCCTTCAAATGCGCCTGCATGCAACACCGACAACTACTGGGCACGAATAGTTGCATCCAGCCGTTATCATAAGCAACGCCGCATTGCAACGGCTACGCTTCTCAAAATATATTTAAGAGCGCTTCGCTCTAGTTTAATTTACATATTATAAGAACCATTTTGTCTATTTATCATTATTTGAGAATGAAATAAAGACTAGTGCGTTATGAACTTCACCAGACAAGGCTCTCCGAAGATTCAAAATTATAAAATAAATAGTATGAATTCGAAGTAATCGAGACAGGCAGGTTCTCTCTCCAATGTTCTGATACCAACATACATTGGAAAGAATCTCTCAGTCACTTTTCGAGTCAGAAACATTTCGACTCGGAGTTTAAGTTATGCCACGACTCGATTAGACGTATGCGTAACATGCTATTTCATATAACTCATTCATTACATTTTTTTAAAGATTTCTGAGAAATTACAATATTTGACATATTCACTTTATTCTTTGTATCCTCACCTCATTCCTGGGACACTTGCACTGTGCATCTCGAGTGAAAGTGATAGATTACTATACTTATATATCACTGCACCGCCGCACAGTGGCTCGAGTCAATAGGAGCGGTCGGACAAAATGTGGAAACGTTAAACGCTTAAAACTCCGTTTATACAAAACTTTGAAGTTCTAAAAGTGGTTTCATCGGTTTCCTCGTAAAATTTTCCTCTAAAAGCAACCCTTGGAATTTAAAATGTGACAGAGTGAACATCAAAATTTGCAGTTTTGGTCAAGTATTTCATGTCCGATCTCTCTAATTGGCTCGATCTAGCAATGGCGTATCCAGCAATTTGGCAACATCGGGTTTCCTCCATTTAAACCTATGGAAATGCATCGATTCTTGGTGGGGCCAGGTGCTCCGACATGAATCGATTATTCAGCATAGGTTTAAATGGAGGAAATCCAGTGTTGCCAAATTGCTGGATCCGCCTCTGCGATCCACTATGCGCCGACCATAAGTCGTGGTAATTCTACTTTGAATCGTGCATCTGAGCACAGAGCATTTGGATTGCATTTTGCAAAAAGGAACCAAGAGCATCCAGTGTCGCTAAGATTGGGTAAATTGTCTTACCTTGCAATTATAAACTGATCATCTGAACAAGTTTTATCATTACTCCCAATGAACTATAAATTCTAGAAGAAAATTATCTGTGTGAATTTAATTTTTTGCAAGATTGCAGTAATCTTATTGCAAAGAATGTAAGTTGCACAAGTCTGGAAACATCGAAATACAATTTGGTTCCTTTTCGCAAAATGCAATCCATTTATTCTTAGCCGGAACTAAAAAGGTTTTATTTTTTGGGGCAATTGCAAGTTTTGATATTTGATAAAATATCTTAGTATGGAGGAGAAAGCAAATCACAATTGAGCCACCAAATGCGAAGTGGAGTCTCAGAACTGGCCCGCAAAAATGCTTGACCTGCGTGAACTGCATGGTATTTATTAAATACACGGCTTCTTTTTCATCCACAAATTGATAAGAAAAGACGAAAAATCAGATCTTTATGTTTTTTTAAAAATGTTATCTGCTCCAAATACATACCCTGGTTCTCTAATTCATGGTGCGACTTGCAATTGCCCCTTTTAGAGGCTAGGGCGGACTGAAAAGAGGATTGCAGGAAAAAATACAACAAACTTCAGATTTTCTGGGTTTATCTTCATTTTTTTAATTCTCGTTTTTCCCCCTTCTTTAACGTAATAGGTAGGATACAGTCAAAACAAATTGAACAATGAATACATTCCCCTCCTAGTGTTTCTTTTAAATTATTCAGATCTGTTAAAACATGTAGAAAATTATAATGTGTTCATTGATAGTTTCCCCCTTTTAGTTTCAAGCAATGCTGCCTAGAGCGAGAATGACTTTTTTATTTTATACTTTTTTTATAATTATTTTTTAGGTTTTTGATACGTTAACAATAAAATGTTTATGTATTTATTCATGTTTGCCACTTAAACGTGGTGTAAAAAATCATGATACCCAATGACTCGGAGATTTCTTCAAATTCTCTTCAAGCTGGGAATCATTCACTAAAAAATTTAAATTGAAGGAAATTATCACAATAAAACAACTTTTACGAATATCGTCTTAAAACTAGAAAAAAGATAAAAAAAACAACGTTGAAAAATAAATAAATCAAAATGAAAGAATACAAAAAGGAAAAAAAAGTACGAAGGTATAAGTAGAGATCACAAACTTTTCACTCGCTCTCCTTTTTCTAATTTTCTTTCTCAAATCAAAAATTAGAAATCTTTCGTGCACCATACACTTTTTTCTTTAAAAATCCTCTGAAAGTTCTTTTGCATATTGTAAATTATTAAGGGGTAAATTCTTAAGTAAAGTAGAGAAAATTTATGATTGTAATAATGAAAGCTTTCATATAATCTTCATTTTCCTGCCAATGTTTTTGACTGCTGATCAGGAGGGAATTTTGATTTTCAAAAAGATTTGCCAAAAATGATCTTATCATAAGGGCACAAACACGAGTGCACGTAGAAATGGAATGAACATCTTTACCCTATGTAAAGCATGCTGCTAGGTTTAACTTAATCTCATGCTTTATTGTAATGAAAAGTGCTTGAGTGACTCCTGGCTGGGCCCTCTTTGTTCACACACGTACGGAATTTAGGAAAATTTAAGGATACAAGTCCCCTCATAGTTCATCTAAGATAATTGAAAATGTTTTGCAAAACTGATACATTCACTCAAGTATTTAAAGGACAAAAATAAAAGCTAGGATAGAAATTATTAGCTTAAATTAGATTTAGATACACTTTTTCACTAATACAAATATTGAGGTCTTTTTGAATGTCCTGTCACCACTCGGTGTCTTATAAGAATATCCAACTACTAAAGCTTTACGCTTTATGTCTATTAATGTTCAGCATATACATTACATCATTGGTAGTTGTATAAGCATATTGAATCGTCGGCAACTATAAAAATGCATTTTCTTTTCATTTCACATCGTCTTTGTCAGTAATGTTGAAAAAAAAATTAATCAGATAAAATCAATCAATTGTCAATAAAAATAATCGTCATTTGGGGCCACACCTAATCATTCATCAAGCATGGTATGTGATGTTTTCTACGATAATGTTAAAATGATTATTTAAACAAAGGATAAACTAAAAGTACTAAACCGTATGTACACAAATGAGCTGAAACGTAAGAAAAAATTGGGGTCTTCGACGAGAGTCTATGACACACAGTTAAGATTAAATATCGTTCCAGGTTTTCATTTTCCCAATCAGTCATCAATCACTTAGGGTGTTCAGATTTTTATCATCGTGTCGTGTTTTGTAAAGTAATCTTGACTGTTTTTCTTGAAATTAGCAGATAATTAACGACAGGAGAGAAAAATTGAGGAAAAATATCTTGAATCGAAAAGTAACATAACTTACATAGTGAGGGAAAAATAAAATCGATAAAATGTTTACAGCTATATCATCCATTTTACACCGTATCAGTTTTGCAAGACGACAGTTGGTGAACGATTGGCAGGAATAGAGAAGATGGGAATAGAATCGATGAAACTTATATGAACACAATATAAATACATGGATGTTTCGAGTTGCGACCAGGCTTCAAAACCTTGAATTTAACGACGGAAGATGAGATTTGCTGGAATGATGCGTGAGAAAATTGCCCACCATCACTCGACGGATGCAGCGTAGTTATTTTTCCCTCATCGGACGACCTGACCACAACCGCGAATGAAAAAATCAGCGTCCCTGAAGAGGTCGGGTGCGGAGCAAACGGGCTCAAGGGGAGGGCTCGGAAAGTGAACCGAAATCACAGCGAATTTTGTATAAAATTAAATCTATACACGACCTTGCATCCTCGAAACTGTCATGACCAGATTCCTCGTTTTGAATGTTCTGTTTCAAGTAGATTTTGACTAATGACTTGAGCGATCTCCGGAAAGGGAGACCGAAGGCGTGAGGAAAAACAATTGACGTGTCGATAATTCTCGAGTGAATTATTCTTAAAGCTCTTAAGTCATTATCTAAGGAGTGCCCGATGAGAATGGACTCGGCGTTGATGATATTTAACAGATCTTTCTGAACTTTTTTCAACGGTTTCACGACGATATTCTTCCGGGTGAAATCCTTCTCCGTGAGGCCCGAATACCTCGTATTGTAGTCGATAATGTGATTTTGCGGTCTAACTAGACAATCGTAGACCCTGTGCCCGTTCGAGTTGACCAGTGTCACTTTCGTCAACTCCAGACCTTTGATTGTGTAGCACATCTCGCAGTCGAGGGCGTAGAGACCGCGGTTCTTGTTGGGCGTCCCGCTTTTCGAGGGCCTCGTTCGAACGTAGCCCTCGAAGGGTCCGTTGACCCCGGCCTGGATGCCGTTCCACACGTGGAGCTTCCCCGTGGAGCAGCCCTTGGAATCCCTGTGAGCGTTGCAACAGGCGTAGTGCGTCGGCTCCCCGCCGGACAGGGGTCGGAACAGCTTCCCCCAGTGGTAAATGCAGTGCTCCTCGGTCAGGTACTCTCCCGAGGGGGTCACGAAGAACCCTTTGCCGCACCTCACGCACTTCTTCTCCTCGCTGTTGACGTTGAACGCCCGCCGGATGCTGTACGCGTTGTTCAGCATGTTCTCCGTCTCGCTCGAGTTCTTGAGCACGTTCGAGAAGCTGCACTTGGGCACGAATTCCGACGCAGTGCTGCTTAGTTTCGACTCGTCGTCCGCTCTGGAGTAGCTCTGGTTCTTGTTCAAGAAGCAGGAGGAGTACAGTCCGCGGGGGACGAACTCGCTGGCGTTGCTGCTGAGGGTGGCTTCGCTGCAGCTCCTAGGGACGAACTCTGAGGCTGCGCTACTGAGCCGATTCCTGTCGATCTCGGCGCTGGATCTGAGGACTGCACTGGAGTAGTCGCTCCGAGGCGTCGCCGTCGACGTCTCCAACATTTTCGAAGGGACAACAACGGGACTCCGATCGCGATCCCGCTCGCTGTCGTTGTGTGGGTGCGGGGCCTGAAGCCGAGTCTCTTTGCACTCGCTCAAATCCCCGCGCTTGAATATGGACCTGGGCACGAACTCCGAGGCGTTGCTCCGGAGGGTGCTCGACATGTCGTCCATGTTCTTGTAGTTGCTGTCGTCGTCCCGGATGAGCTTGAGGCTCTTGGGCACGAACTCGGAGGCGTTGACGTCGAAGCTCGACGGCGAGAGGGAGGGGCCGCTCAGGTTGGGCTGCTTGAAGAAGATCGCCCGCCCGGGGTAGAGGGTGCTCTCCACCGGGAACCCTAGGGACAGCAACTGGTCCGGGTGGAGCGTGTACTTGCGCATGATGTCGAAGAGGCGGTCATCGTCGCAGTGGAGCCGGGAGCGGTACTTGGAGACCGGCTGCTTGCTCCGGGTCTGCGCCGCTTTCGGCGAGGCTTTCGCCGTTTTCGGCGAATCCTTGCTCTTGACGCGGTTCTTCCTCTGTCGCCTCGTCAGCTGCTTCGGCTCGCTTACGTAGCCCGTGTTCTCTTTGTTACCTTCACTCCCGCTGCTGGTCGCGCTCTCGTCTCCGCCTGGATCGGCTGCAACACACAAAACACCGATACATTAGAGCCTTTCTAATTGGAATCTTATTCATAAAGCATTACTGTTAAAATAAGGACAAACATCGTAGAGACATTCAAACGCTCTTAAGCTGCTCGCTGTTAAACCCAAATTTCCTAGAAAACTGAGCAGTTCGCTTTTTCCAAGTTCGATGGAGATGTTGCATGTGTGAGGAATTTGCGATTTGACTAAAATTCTTGGTGTAAAATTTCGCGAGAAACACGATGGTGCCACTGGTTTTCTCTGAAATCAACTCCCATGCTCAAAAAAATCTCTCAAGTTGAGGCCAGAATGGAGGGAATATCCCACGCTATCCTGAAAGTGACATCTCTGTGTGAACAAGGCCTTCCATTTATAAGAAATAAACGGAAAAACTATGAATGAACAAACTGACCGCACTGTGTTTGACGCAATGCGTGCAAAGCATTCCTACAGTCAAATAGGCGCTGTGCGTTTCACACCGACCGCTTCTGGACGCACTGTGTTTGACGCAATGCGTGAAGTATTCATGCAGTCTTGTAGGCGCTATGCGTTTCAAGCCGATCGCCGCGCCGCTGCTGCACGGCTGCTGACCGAAGTGTGTTTGACGCAATACGTGAAGTATTCATGCAGTCTTGTAGGCGCTATGCGTTTCATGCCGACCGCCGCGCCGCTTCGTTCCAGGTTAAATTGCGTGTTTGGTTTCTCTCTTAACTCGACTAATTAAAGGCGTGGCGTTGTCTCTTGTATCACCGAAAGACGACAAAATTAGAAATTACTATACTTTTACTCTCAGGAAATGAGAGATTTTGTCGCCTTTTCTAGTTTGTAATTTATTTTCTGAATCCGATTTTTCTCTCTCTTTTTTTGATTCCTACATTAAAAAAAATTGCAAAATTTGCCGCCCCCTAAATTTGCCGCCATGGGCCACGGCCCATGTGGCCATCCCCTAAATCCGGTACTGCACATGCAACATCTTCATTATTCATGTCAAAATCAAATCAAAATAAATGTCGGGTTAGGGAGTTTTTTATAGGTAAAGTTAAAGTTTTACGACTTGTCAATGTATTTTAAATGCGTCCGAATTGGAATATAATACGGAGAGATATACTTCGGAAAATATTTTAAACTTTATTAACTATACCTCCTCCCTCTGCCCAAGTCATTTATTGAAGGAGCTTAAGTTTGAAGATCAATATTTATTGTGAAAATTCAGTATTCTCAGTGTAAACGCATGCAGTAGGCTAATTTGAAACATCACCTCCAAACGCTGCAATGGAGAAAACACGAAAGTGTCAGTGAAGCAACTGCATTATTTGGAATTAAGTGCTGAAGTATTAGGGCGGCCATAGCTAACGGAATTTGGGGCACATTACTTTCTGTGTATACCATTCATCATTATTATAATTTAAATAAAAAACATCGAACTTGAGAGCTTAGATATGAACTTATTAACATCGCAATTCGAAGTTGAAAACACGAATATACTGTGCTTAACATTTTCAACATGAACACAGTAATTTCATCGATGTTTCGCTAAGAAAGTTAGGCTCATATGCCTTCACTACTCGTTGATTTGGAAGAAAAACATGATCAGCTGTTTCAGCAAAGTAATCATATTCAGCTCAAGGTTATAGATTTGCGAAACCTTGAAGATCAATTTATGCTATAGATAAAAATGTATACCTGCTCCTATTCACGACTCAAAGTGGGTATTTGAAATAACGAGAGGCTTACTCAGCATGTTGTGAAAAAATCATGAAGAATAAATCACGGAAGTTTGAAAAACAACGGGTCATAAAGCAAGTGTGCAGATTTCAATACAATGGTTACGCATGCTAGTTTAAATATTTGAGACGAATATTTTACCGGAATTCACGGCTCGTCTAATTGTCTTCGACAAAGTTTACGGATATATTCCAGAGGTGAGACGAGCTGATCGGAGACAATTTTTTGTTTGATCTCGCAAAAATCTAAGAAGAGAACGAAAGACCACAGCGAACTTGCGCGTTGGCCCCACATTCTGTCGATCCGATGACATGAAGACGTGACTTTCGTCTTGAAAATAAAGTCAATTCGGTTGAGCAGTTGGAATGATTCAGTAGTGTGGCGAAAAAAAACCAGGTTTAATAAGACCCGAATGGATCAATTTTACCAAAATTTTTTAGAACACCAGGATTCAACTTATTCTTAAAAGAAAATGTTAAAATTATAAGTAATTTATATGTGATTAATTCGTACGTGTCACTGCAGTCACCTAATCTAGATTATAGCATACGTTATACACTGACATATTGTTATGACATAAGTGCAAGCATAAAGTCTTGTTCCATAATATATGAAAGCAGAGAAGTAACGCGAAAAAACGCATATCGCCTGAAGCGCGAAGCCTTTGGCAGGTCGGATCGGGAAGCAGTTAGGGTTATATTATAAAGTCTTGTAATCAATGATTTAGAATATAACAAGCGCATCGGCTGATACATGAGGTACAAAATATTTTACGCCCCTTACGTCAATGAAATGAAGAGCCCACTTATAAAACCTTTATCGGTAATGTTTTCATCCTCTCGTTATAATCCTCTCACGAGCTCCCTTTACTAATCTTAAAGTTTACGAATCGAACATGTTTGTGAGATTAAGCCAACAATATGCTACAAATTAAAAGAGGCATCCAATCTACAGCCTATGTAACAGCTATCCAGGATATGTGAGCGGTCAATACGAACATTACTTCCAGCTCGCTCAATAGTTCTTTTTGTCTATCCTGACCGGACATTGACCTCAACCGTATTAATGAAACAGTACTTTTCGTAGGATTTATTGAATATTTATTAAATGAAATATTCCAACAAATCGGGATGGGCTTTTCCGTTTCAAATTACTCGCTAACATCGAGACTAACATCAACTGGACAACATTTCGTAATTTATGAAACAATAAGTTCTTGCACGGTTTAAAAACAACGTATGTGCCCTTAATGTCCCTATGCACATAACGACGGTGAAAGTCGGCAATCACATAACTCGGTTTGCTACGTCGCAGACTTCCTGTCATACTTTATTTTTTAAATGGAAAACTACTCAACGGCAATTCTTTAAAACTGTCATGATTTTTCTTCTCGATGCGAAGAAAATTCTGCAAAAACTTCAAGAAATAATATAAATTTGTTCTCCTTTAAAAAAATGACGTAGAGGCGGAGATTTTCAGACACCGCAAACGAGTTATGTGATTGCCGACTTTCACCGTCGATAAGTGTTTTTCCAGAAGAGCCAGAATTTATAGTTCCAAATTGCAAGATGCAGTCCAACTTAACTACGAAACTCTCAAAAGTGTGCACGGAAAAAAATGTTTGCATCGGAGACGCAAGACAGGTTTGTCAAAAAGCGTTACCTAACATTTTGTGCGTCCCATATCTACCGGTTCTACGCAGAGACGCAGAATAGAGAAGATGACGCTAATCGTGCATAACTAACGCAAACCGTATCTCCAGTTTCCATAAGTCGCGTGCTTTTAAAAATCGCCAGAAAATTGCAATATTTTAGTACGGAATAAAAAAGTGAAGAAATTCAGAAGTATAGAAACAAAATAGAAAGTGCTGATTATTCTACATGGCATTTTAACAGACATTTATTTTCTTATAAGACGTTTCAACGTACCAGCCGACACACTCGAGAGTGCGTGAAATGAGATCATTGACCTCAGTTGGGTTTGGTTCGGGCACGCAACTAAACTAACGCTCCGACAAAGCGGGGAGTATCACAGGATTTGAAGGCGCTTCAAGCCGTGGTCGCGCTTTTGAAGTGCCTTGCGGATGTAACCTTCTTTATGTCGATGCGAGTTGTTGTAATTTTTAACGTATTAGCACATAATGCCGTTTGCGAATTGCTGGCGATCACCGCGCCGACTGCCTGCGACATATACTCAAATCCGTTATAATCAAGACGGGTCAAACTATATACAAGGAAAATCATGCTCGAGGAGCCAGGTGTCGTCATCGTCAGCCGGAATGATTGCATAAATCTGGATGGGATTCAAGAATGCTCGTCCATATTTGACACATTTTCGACGATTGTTTGCACACGCGGCGGAGGTAGGAAGACACAACGCGACAGGGTTTGCAAAATCGACGTGACGGACTTGGTTTGTCCGAGCAGAAGCTTCGACCAACGCAACGCCTCACGAAACCGATTATTCGATACCGAAATGATCAATTGAAGAGGATTCAAAGCTCAAATAGTGGAACGGGCGGTTGACTCGGAATATAAATTAGCACCTGCTTCGATTTGCAGATAGCCAACACCAGCCCACCCTTGAGTCTTGTAGTCATCATAACGTTGTCAAGTTGCACAATAAGTATAGTAAAGTAATCATTCAGCGTTATAGTATAGTCATGCGACCAGAAAAGCATGTCTATTACTCAGTTTCCAGGTTCAAGCTACTACTTTTGAGCCGTCAGATGAATGACACTATTTTGACATTATGTCATTATATTATGACATTTTATTATTAAGACATAATTTGACTTGCGGCGTCCCCCCCCCCCACTTACCCAACAAAGTTTATATACGTCAGATAAAACCCAATACATCCTCGGCGATAATCGTGGGTTAATTGGACTGCATTTTGCAATTTGGAGCTATAAATTCTGGCATTTCTGGCTCATCTGAAAAAACACTTATGTGCATGGGGAAAGTAATGGCACATACGTTGTTTTTAAACCGCGCCGGAATTTATAGCTCCAAATTGCAAAATGCAGTCCAATTGTTGCTAGCAGTAAGGGCATCGTCGCATCGATTCAACTAGAGGCGCCAAAAACTGCACGTGGGAGTGGGAGGGGAATAAGCTCCGAAAATGTCCAAAAATGAACTAAGTCTGACCAAAATTGTGTAATTGACTGTTGAATTTCTAAACTCAGAGAAAGACGAGGACTTCTGATTGAGCTGCTCTTGTGAAAAGGTAAGTCAATGAAGCACACTTGGGACGTTTTGGCTAGTCAACC